TCTCGAGTCAAAGACCGCCGCCGAAGTACACTCGTCACTCTCTTTTCCCGTCTACTCGGTTTCTCTCGACGAGAAAACAACCGCCCTTCACGATAAAGTCGATCTCACGGTGACACTGGGCGGCGATGGCACGATCCTACATGCAGCGTCGGTCTTTGCGACCTGCTCAAATGTTCCACCTGTTCTATCCTTCAGCATGGGCACATTGGGCTTCTTGAGTGAATGGAAGTTCTCAGAGTTTAAGCGGGCTTTCCGAGAAGTCTACATGTCTGGAGCCGGGGCAGGGGATCGTACCCCTGTGTTAGAAGAACCCCCCGGTGCGGCACTCACCGAACAAGAAATTGAGATGGGGCCGACCGGGTGGTCCTCCGTCCGGGGCAAATCTATGGGCTCTACGCGCGGGGCTCGTATTCTAATGCGCAATCGGTTGAAAGTGGGACTGTTTAGCGCCGACGGAACCGAAACGACACCTATCCGAACCAAGACTGACCACGGCCAGGGGGTGTATGTGATGAATGAGCTCCTCATCCACCGTGGCAAGGAACCACACTTGGCTGTGGTAGATGTGTTTGTGGGTGGGCGGTTCCTGACGGAGGCTGTGGCAGATGGAATCATAATTTCCACGCCAACTGGAAGTACAGCCTACAGCCTAAGTAGCGGAGGTAGTATTGTGCATCCACTAGTCCCGTCGATCCTTTTGACGCCGATTTGCGCGCGTAGCCTCAGCTTCCGACCATTGGTTCTTCCTTCCAGTACCCCGATCACCCTGCGACTAAGCGAAAAGAATCGTGGACGAGAACTAGAAGTCAGTCTAGACGGAGTTCATTTAGGCCAAGGGATGGGTGTTGGTATGGAGGTCCGAGTTTGGAATGAGGAGATGCGGCATGGGAAGAATGAGTGGCAGGGTGGTGTACCTAGTGTGATGCGGAGAAGTATGGGATGTGAAGCTCATGAAGGATGGGTTGGTGGATTGAATGGATTATTGAAGTTCAATCATCCATTTGGAGAGGTATAATATAACATCTTATTTTTTTTTTTAATCTAATAAGAAATATAAGAAGCCCTGGAGATATACGAAGTACAACATGGGGCTGGGCTGGATCCCCTATGGACTAATCTGATTGGCCAAGACTTGTTTTCTGTAGATGAACTTCTAAAGTACTCTATCTCAGGGGAGACACCCCCTTTCTCTCTTTCTTCCTTTTACAACTCCCAACTTTGATTTGATATTTTTTTTTAACGTCTGATATTGCGTTGTTTTATTCTCGAGCATCCTCGCAGTGCGAGGACCGCTCTTGATTCCAAAGAAGAAGAAAAAAAGGTACATTCTACCCCTCCTTCGGTTTCCTCGATACGACCCTATCCCCTTTGTCTTGGGCAGTTCGTGTTCCGAACGATCTTGAACATAGTGACTAGTTCTTTGGATTTTTGCCCTGAATCTTAGTCGCTGATTTCTGTCTAGTAACGTTTGCTCGTCTCGAGAACCTCAGGAGGTCTCGGCGCATTCGTTTACATCCTTCCCCTCCCCCCCTGCGCCAGTCTGGAAATCCCTTGAACTATGACTTCCTATGGAAAGTATGTGACCGCACCTTTTGGCATCGAAATTGGTGATAATTCTTTTACTCACCCCCCAAAAAGCAACATGTATGCGCCGGAGCAGTTCATGAATCCGGGGCCTGCTCCCCGGCCCCCTACCGACCGACCTCCCAAGTTGACTCTACCCACCAACACGGCCACCTCCTTCGGTCAGATGAGCCTGGACTCTCCGATCACACCAGGCTCATCGTCTGCAAATCTCTCACTTTTCCCCAATACCAGCAGCCCTTCGCTGGGGATGTCTCGGAGTAATACCGGCCAAAATGGAATCTCGGTCATCAAAGAAGGCACCGTCCGTTGCAAAGAGGACAAGTTCCTGGCAACATGGAATACACGTTACTTGATTCTGCGCGAATATAGACTTGAGTTTTTGAAGAGTGATTCTGGCAAGGTAGTGATTACTTTCCCTTTGTCCTCGGTCACCGCTGTTGCTCGCTCCGAGGATTCCAAGATGGCCTTCGAGGTCACTCGCTTGGCCAACCCTAAGGATGCGGGCTCCAAAGCGGCACTCCTTGCCCGTGACCTACCCACCAAGACCATCACCTGCGAAGTCAAATCCGACGATGAAATCTATGAGTGGATCGACAAGATCTACGAGCGCTGCCCTGGGATGGGCGGTGTCAGTAACCCGACAAACTTCAGTCACCGTGTTCATGTCGGCTTTGACCCCAATACCGGCGCCTTTGTAGGTTTGCCTCCAGAGTGGGAGAAGCTTTTGACCTCCTCTGCTATCACGAAGGAAGACTACAAGAAGAACCCTCAGGCCGTCATCGAGGTTCTTGAATTCTACTCAGATATCAAGATGCGCGAGCAGAACCCGCAATACTACGCTGGAATAAACTCCCCGCCCAATGGTCAATCCAAGCCATATGGTAGTAGTGTTGGTAGTTCCATTGCACCACCACGCCCACCCCCACCCGGACCGATGCAGCGCCTTGATAGCGGTCAGTCGAAACAATCTGACGGTTCTATGCGCTCGGCGTCATCCTCAGTCGGACAGTCGGACCGTGCAGCAGATCACCAGCAGCAAGTCGAACGGATGAAGGAATTGGCCGACCAAGAGCGTCGCCGCGTGGAGGAGGAACGCCGCAACAAGGAGGAGCAGGATGCTTACAATGCATCCATCCCGAAGAGCCGCCCTACTATGGCTCAACAGGAGCTTGGTGGATATAGCGGCGATGAGCCGTCACAGAACAGCCGCTATCAACCAAGCCGCCCGGCCCCTCAGGCTCCAGGCTCTGCTGCTCGCCAGCAAGACCCTCGACAGCTCACCGCACAGCGCCCTGCCCCGGCGCCACCATCGCAGAGTCCCTACGGACAAAGCGCGCCTCGAGCACCGGGTGCTCCCCGAACTGATGACCGACAGGGCTCCCCAAGCTCCCGATACCCTCCCAATGACCCTCGGGCACCTGGCTCGGCCCATCGCCCTCAGCAAAACGGCTCCAAGGGACAGAATGGACCCCCTCCGACACGCCTGCCGGCCCCCGTTCAAGCTGTGAAGCCGCTGAACATTGCCAACAAGCAGAACGGGAACAAGCAGAATGTCCCGGATGGCGTTCGCCAAGCCGAAGCTGCTCTTACCAAGAAGGCAGATCAGCCGCGCCAGAAGGAGGTGCGCATGTCAGCCATGTCAGAGACTGAGGTCATGGAGCGTCTGAGGTCTGTGGTATCAAAGGACAACCCGAACGAGTCTTACAGCAAGCAGCGCAAGATTGGTCAGGGTGCATCTGGATCCGTGTATGTGGCACGGGTTAAGGAAAGCGCGCCATCAGGTGTCGCCCACGAGCTTTACCGGACATATGGCCCACGCTGCCAGGTGGCCATCAAGCAGATGGACCTGCGCAGTCAGCCCCGCAAGGAGTTGATCGTCAACGAGATTATTGTTATGAAGGACAGCCACCACCCGAATATCGTCAACTTCCTCGATTCGTTCTTGCAGGAATCAAGCAATGAGCTCTGGGTTGTGATGGAATTCATGGAGGGTGGCCCCTTGACTGATGTAATTGACAATAACCCTGTAATTTCTGAAGGTCAGATCGCAACTATTTGTGCCGAGGTATGCTGTCCCCCTCCAATGTTTGTTTTCATCCAATTACTAACGTTTTACCAACAGACTTGTAAGGGTCTGGCCCATCTGCACAACCAGAGCATCATCCACCGTGATATTAAGAGTGACAACGTCCTCCTCGACCGTGTTGGCCACGTCAAGATCACCGATTTCGGCTTCTGCGCCAGGCTGACCGAACACAAGAGCAAGCGCGCCACCATGGTCGGTACCCCTTACTGGATGGCACCCGAGGTCGTCAAACAGAAGGAGTATGGCCCGAAGGTCGACTGCTGGTCGCTGGGCATCATGGCCATCGAAATGATTGAGTCAGAGCCTCCCTACCTGAACGAAGAGCCCTTGAAGGCCCTCTACCTTATTGCCACCAACGGAACCCCCCGTCTCAAGAAGCCCGAGAAGCTCAGCAAGGAGCTTAAGGCTTTCTTGAGCGTCTGCCTGTGTGTCGATGTCCGCAGCCGTGCTTCCGCCGACGAGCTCCTCGCTCACGAATTCCTGCGAACTGGATGCAGCCTGGCTAGTCTGCCTGAGCTGCTTAGCTGGAAGAAGGCTACTGGCTAATAAATAACCGAGGTCTCCGTTCTACTCTTCACAACATCTGGGTCCTATTTACGCGTCTTCGTTTAGATGTCCATGTCCCATATCCATTCACAGGAACATACTCTCTTCCCGTGTGCTCTATTCCCGTCTCCTTCACTGCACTTTCACTGGAGATATCATTGTCGCTCTGCTCTCATTACGTATCATACACAACCCTGGGCGTGGATAATCTGGCGTTTGATCTTTGTTTTTTCTTTTTCCCCCTGTCCAACTTTTCGACGCTTGCACAAAACACATACCATGTTCCCCCCCTATGACGTTCACGATTCTGCAAATTGCACTGTATTATGTGCCCTTGCACAAAAGCGAAGAATAGTTTAAAATCCGATGTGACTTGACTCGATTTCTTTATCGAAAAGAATCGGCTGTGCACTATAGCAGGTGTATGCTTGAGCTCTTTGTGCCGTATTCGGGTACTCAGCCAGTCACCCAAATGGATATCAAAACAAATACATGTCTTCATACAACCTTACAAGGTCAATCCCGTAGCCAATAACCTTGGCTCGAATCTATACAGTTGGAATAGTTGGCTTCTTGTGCGGCTGGCCTTCGCGATATAGGGCTCAGGAGAATCTGAACGCCCAGTAGGGGTCATGTTGAAGACACAACTACGATGCCATTTTCCATGTCCTTTATCTTATATTCTTCGTATAGCAAGAGTAACACAAACATCAAATAGAATCTAATATATCATCGACAAGCGTAAAACTAACGTATAGCAATTCATACATGAAAAAGAAAATCAAGGCAACTCATTCCTCACAGCCCTCCCCAAACCCCCACAAGCCTCACCAAACAAAACTCCAATAAGGACACTCTCTCCCTCAGAAACCGTCCAACGTCCCGCATCAACTAGCCTCTGTTTCCAAACACTCTGCTCAGACGTAGAAAGATCCTTCCAAGCCTTCAACTTCTCTTCCTCAGACGCAGCCGCAGCAGTCTCGATAATCACGCTCTGCTCAGCATCATGTCCTGCGCCGCATCGCACGATAACAGAGAGGGACTGCGGCGCAACGGGTTCCAGATCAGCTGGCGCGGCGCCGGCACGGTGTACGCGGTCCAGGATTTCGCGGAGGGATTCGATCTGCGAGTCTGTGGGGACAATGGTCGCCACTGGGATATCGGTATCGCTTCCACGCGGCACGAGAAGTGTATCGAAATACGTTAGCTTATCCCGTGGGGGGAGAACGTATTCCCGTGCGATAGCTCCGCGGATGCTGTCTGGGAGCCATTCTGTGGCGCCGAGGATAGGCGGGGTTCCGCCACGGATCTCGGAGAAGGCGAGCATTGCCAGACAGATTGCCGATATGGAGAATAGTAGGATGATGATGCTGTAGACTAGTTCCCAGATCTCGGCGGGGCCTGGGGTGACGAGGACGTAGCGTGGGGTGCGGGAGGAGGTTGGGAAGGGGGATAGTGGGAATGTGTGCACAACGACTGTGTTGCCCATGCTGACAGAGGCAAGCTTTATGTTCTGCGGGCCGACGTCTGGGGTTACAGGGTGCGCGGGCGCGATGAAGGTTGAGAAGGTGAGTTTTGTCATTGAGAAGGGGTGCACATCGCGGAGGGTTGTGTAGGGACGGAAGTTGCTGTAGCCGCGGTTTGGTCCGTATTCGAGGGTGAATAGAGGGATGGAGTTGTCGCTGCCGCTAACTGCGATGACGGTTTGTTGTTGGCCTTGCGGGTTTGTTCCGAGCTGGCAAATATCAAGCCCTAGGCCGATCTTCACAGTTCGAGGGAGCTTGCGACGTCGTAGAATTTTGGACTTGCTTGATTTGGTGCTGGGGAGTTGAATGAGGACGAGTTCACTACCACCACGGTTTGGGGCGTTTTGGAGGAGGAGCAGGGTCTTGGGCGAGAGGAATCGCAGCGCGCGGACCTTGGGACGTGCCGTGCGGACCCCGCTAGCGGGCAGAGGAATGGTATAAACGGAGTGGACGTCGGGGGAGCTGTTGGAGCGGCTAGAGGACGAGATCTCGCCAGCCATGACGTCTGCGCCGTTGGTGTATGCCACAAGGAACTGGCCGTGCGCATCGTCGGTCTTTTCCAAGTCGTGTTCGAGGCTAACAAAGTCCAAATCCTCGGCCTCTTCATTACCGCCTAATTGGATGCGCCCAATTACATCCTTCTCGCTGGGCGTCTCTGTTGCGCGGAAGAACACAATCTCACCGGATGGTGCTAGTCCAGTCGCAACAGCTCCGATTCGAGTGTGTTTCGCATTGCCATCCTTCCCTTTCGGCCACGGCGAGAGTCTTGTCACTCGCTGATATGTATCTGAGGAGCCTGAACCATTCTTCGTTCGGAAGAGTGATGCTTGTGATAAAGCTCTAGCCTTTCCGGGAATAACCTCTTCCTCGGACTTGGTGTCCTTTTTCGCCTTCCCGCTATCTTCGGCGGTGGTCTTTTGCGGCACCTCAAACCGGAACGCGCGAAGATGTTGATTGTTATTCTTTTTCTGTTGTTCCACGGAGCTATTTATACCGGCAAGAGCAACAAGTGAGCCTGCCTCGTCGCCAGCCAGCGGGGCCGCAGCCAGCGACGTTACCGAGTCTTCATCGCGCGATAGGTTCAATTCAACAGCCTCAGTAATCTCGTTGCGGCATGAGGTGTCGAGCAGAGACTATATAGAGAACAACAATTAGCATTTTCACGTCAAAAGGGAGTCTCGAAATGGTGCCACTTGCGATTTTGTTGCCAACTCCGCTACGCCCCTCGCCGCCTCCGCCACCAACTAAGAGTCGACCGTTGTCGCGTGGGTCAAAGTCCGCAGCGAAGAGCGGACACGAGAGTGTCAATTTGGCAGAGTGTACTGTGGGTGCCATTGTGGTTGACAAAGTAGGGTGGAAAGAGGACAGATGACGGAGGTGCCCCGGATTCTTGGCTTGGCCCGATCTGGGCTGGGCATGCCGCGCCTGGTTAGCGTGATGAAAACTATATTATATAGATCTACAATTGAACTTGTTGTATTTTAGTCGATATGTGAAGAAATAAGAAAGGAGAAAAAAAAGTGAATAGTATTTTATAATGCAGTCTGCGCATTCTAAGCCTCGATTTCCTGGGAAGTGAACTCGGGCAGGCGCTTGCGGATATCCTCCCATGTCTCGTCACCCTCAACAAGCGAATTGACAGCCTGAAGGATCTCGTCCTCGCTAGCACGGACCTGTTTGGTGGTATCACGGTCACGCAGGGTGAAAGTGTTGTCCTGAACGGACTGGAAATCCACAGTAATACCGAAGGGTGTGCCCAACTCGTCGTTACGGGAGTAACGCTTGCCGATACTCGCGGAAGAGTCATCGACACGGTTGGAGACACCAGCCTTGCGCAGCTTCGAAGTCAGACGCTGGGTCAGAGGCTTGAAGGAGGCGTGCGTGGAGAGGGGAACCAGCAAGACCTTTGTGGGGGCAACAGCAGGAGGGAAAGAAAGGACCTAAAGAGTATCGTCAGTACCAGCGCTCACGGCAAAAAATCACAAAAGGGAAGACTTACACCACGAGTCTCATCACCGGCGCGGGACCAGTAGGAGTGCTCAATCATACTGTACAGAATACGTCCAATACCGAAGGAAGGTTCAATCACGTTGGGAGTGTACTCGCGGACGTTCTCAACACGAGTACGCTTCTCAATCTTGATCAAGTCCTTCTCGATCTCGACCTTGCCAGATCCAACACCCTCAACATCGACCTCAATCTTGCCATCCTTCTCGAGGTCAAGAGACAGCTTTTCGCGCAGCTCCTGGGACAGAGCTTCGATAGCTGCCTCGACAGTCTTGGCGTCCTTCTTGAATCGGGGACCAAACTTCTTCTTCTCGAGGTCAATCTGGTACTCCTCAATACGCAGAGGCTCAGTACGGGCCTGGCGCACCACGAGAGGGGCACCGGTCTTTTCCTTGTGGACAGTCAGATCGTAGGCGGAGCGGTCAGCACAGCCGACACACTCGATCCAGCCGTAGCTGGTCTGCAACTCGGCATCCCAGCAGTCAGTAGCGTAGTGAGCCATCTCATTGGCCATGTGCTGACGGAAGCGCAGCTTGGCGGGGTCAACACCCAGCTTCAACAGGAAGGACTGAATGCGAGCCAAGAAGTAGCCCAGGGTCTCGTTATCGACCAGTCCGGTCTCAACGGCCTTGCCGATGGTCATCTTGGTCAGCTTGGTGCTTCCGGACAGCTGCACGTTGCGGTCGAGCAAGGACAGCTCAGTATCCTTGACCTCATCGAAGCGAGCGTGCTTCTTGCCGCCCTCTGGGTCAACGTAGTGCTCAATCTCGGCCATAAGGAACTCGCGCACACGCAGGAGACCCGCACGTGGGGAAATCTCGTTACGGAATGACTTGCCAATGGAGGCAGAGGCGAACGGCATCGACTGCTGGTTGAACTCCAGAAGCTTAGCGAAGTTCAAGAATTGACCCTGGGCGGTCTCGGGACGCAGGTATCCAGGCATGTTGGCGCTGGGGCCAATAGAGGTCTGGAACATGAGGTTGAAGGAGACCGGAGGCAGCACCTCGCCGCCGGTGACGGGATTGCGAATGTCATGCTTCTTGATGAGCTGCTCTAACTCGGGGCCACCGTAGTTGTCAATCTGTGCGAGGGTCTCCTCGTACTCCTTGACAAGGGCATCATCCAGCTTCTTAGCCTCAGTGCCCTTGGCCTTTCTCTTCTTCTTGGCCTCCTTCTCCTCATCCACCACAACTGTCTGACCACGGGCCTGCTTGTCTCCCTTGAGGCGGGCCTCGAGCACTTCCTCAACCAAGTGGTCGGCACGGAAGATCTCGCCAGTCTTAGGGTCCTTGCACATCCAGTCGGCAAACTTGTCGACGTGCCCACTGGTCTTGAGGATCTCGTGGGGGGTCAACATGGTGGTATCGACCTCGAGCATGTCCTCCTCGAGCACGAAGTGCTTGCGCCACAAGTCGGTCATGTTGGCGATCAGGGCGGTTCCCGGTGGGCCATAGTCATAAAGACCAGAGACACCACCATAAATTTCGAAGGAGGGGGTGTAGAACATGCGGCGGCGGAGCATGGAGTCCAGCACCGTCCGGTCAATGGACTGGCCAGTCTTGGTGTTGACGGTGGCCATCTTGGCGTTTCGTTTCGAGGTCTTCGGGGGAGAGGTGTAGGTCCTAAACTGATTCCGAAAGAAAGACGGAGGGGAAAGAAAAGAGCGGGGGGGAAATCGCAGACGCGGCAATTGAGTCATCCACTATGCAGCCCCTCAGACACCACCGAGAGGATAAAGGACAGGGGGGTATAGTACGCTAGAGAGCAACCAATTGGTTCTCTCTTTTTCTATTTCTTTTTTATTTATTTTCCTTATAAAAAGGAGGTCTCCAAGTCACAAGGTCGAATCGCAGATTGGCGCTCCGGGGAAACGATTGTCCGAGATAATTTATTTCTCGGCGATCTTTACATTTTCCATTGACCTTCAACAGCAGCACCCTACCCTCTCAGCTTTCAAAAATGGGTCCCGTTGGTCGATCAGGACCGCCTCCGGGCGTTATGGGTGATATTAAAACCGGCAACAAGATCCGCCGGAAGATGAACCATGTTAAGCGCAAGAGAGCCAAAGATGCTGCGCGCCGAGAGGAGCGCTACGCTTTCAAGAAGGAAGAACAGAAGAACCCCCAGTTGAAGGAAGAACGACTTCGCCGCAACATTCCTCTGACCCTCGAGCGGAAACGTGTCTGGAACGAACCCGACAATGATACCGACGAAACTGGTCTGGGATTGAGCGTTGACGTTGAGCGCATCAAGCGCGCCAAGAAAGAAGAAGACGACGAGCTCAATCGGCCATTGGAAGAGGGTGAGGATGATAGTGAGGCTCCGGAGTCTGACAACGAGTCAGTCGACAGTATGCTCGAGTCAGACAACAGCGAAGATGAGGATGAAGATGAGGAAAAGGACGGAGACGAAAACGCCAGCCGTGGCCGGAAGAAGGCCGCTCTCCCGACTGCGACGGAGCGTGCCACAAGTCCCTCCCAGTCCACACGCAGCACAAACCTCAGCCTCGCTCCTGAAGCATTGGCCGCCAAATTCCCTACACTCTTCACCGAGGGACCCCCTCCCACCCCGAAAATCCTTATCACTACCGGCCTCAACTCTACACTCCACGCCCAAGCCGAGACACTGACCGAGATCTTCCCGAACAGTGTGTACATCCGGCGTAATGCACACCGGTACTCGCACAAATTCTCCATCCGCGAGATTTCCAAATTCGCTGCAAACCGTAATTTCACGACGGTCGTCGTGTTGAATGAGGACCAGAAGAAGCCCTCTGGGCTAACGATGGTGCATTTGCCAGTCGGCCCAACTTTCCACTTCACCATCAGCAACTGGATCGACGGAAAGCGCCTTCCAGGACACGGCAAAGCCACCGAGCACTGGCCTGAGCTGATCCTCAACAACTTCCGTACCCCTCTTGGTCTTCTGACTGCTCATCTGTTCCGCTCACTCTTCCCCCCTCAACCTGACTTCGAGGGCCGACAGGTCGTCACTTTGCACAATCAGCGTGATTATATCTTCGTTCGTCGTCATCGCTATGTCTTCCGTGAGAAGCGCGAGACTGAGAAGGCTGTCGTTGGTGCTGACGGCAAGGAAATCGCCGGTGTTGAGGGTATCCGCACCGGTCTACAGGAACTGGGACCTCGCTTTACTTTGAAGCTGCGTCGTGTTGATAAGGGCATCCAGCGTGCCAGTGGCCAGGAGTGGGAATGGAAGGGTGGAATGGAAAAGACGAGAACTCTGTTCCAACTGTAAATGTCTCTTTATATTATTTTTTCTTGGTTTTGCATGGGGTTCAAGGGGAGTTATATCCAAAAGCTTGTCTGGTTTCATTGCAATGGACAAAATTCACGTATCCTACAAACCTCCATGGACATTTATACATAGGTACTCTACAAGCCATAGAGGCCATGACGGCTCCTGGATTGGTTAATTATACAAAGACATTCATCGGCTTCATCTATTCCCTTCCAAAACATACTCACATAATGTGGCGGTGCATCCTTTCTAATTCACTCAAGTAAATCAAAAAGTATCAAGAACAGATGAATCAAGGTATACTAGAAAAACTACGTCAACCATAGTTACTGCACTACATTCGCTCACTGCAAGAAATAGTCTAAGGTACTCTTAAGAGCAATCGGACTATTTTTACCCATATAAATCTACGATAATGGCGCAGACTTTGCTGTGACTCTTGTTGACTAGAATTTGTTAGGGTTTGAGGTGTTTGCAATCCAACATCAATATGCCTGTGCAATTATTCGAATACAATGTTTACTCCTCTGCAATATAAGAGTAAAATAGAAAAAGGAAATCATTAAAATCACCAACATCAGAGTATAAAGACGGAGATAATCATTTCCTTATCCCCGATATCAGTCAAGTCACGAGACGATCTCCGTACCTGAACAAAAAAAAAGAATATTTACCATATACAATAAACAACCCTGTACATCCTACACCCAACCGCAAATATGGACATCATCCCCCGGCGTCTCCTCTTCATAGCCTCAATAGGCAATCCAGCCCCGTACCAAAAAACCCGCCACAGCGCAGGCCACCTGTTGCTGGACGCCCTAAAACCGCTCCTAGAAACCACAATGCCAAACACAGGCCTATACCACGAAACCTGGCAAAGCCCCGCATACATGAACGAATCAGGCCCGAAACTCGTACGGCGCTTAGAACAATGGGCAAGCGAGCGGGCAAACCGACTCGAAAGAATCGCCAATGTTACCGCAGCCCGTTCCTCAACAAACCTCCCGCAAACAACTACATACCCAACCACACTCATCATTCTCCACGACGAACTGTCCATTGCTCAAGGCAAGGTACGGGTTATACGCGGCGGGCCTGAATCGTTTAGTTTGCGAGGTCATCGCGGTCTGATCAGTATCTGTGAGACATTGCGGAAGAAGGGATTGTATCCGCGGTCGTCTGGTGCGAAGGGTGTTTCGGGGCCGTTGGCGGATCTTTCGATCTTGCGTATTGGTCTTGGGATTGGACGGCCGACGTCACATGATACGAAAGCTGTTTCTGATTATGTGCTGAAGACTGTTAGTGATAGTGAGCTTAAGGCTTATCATGCTGCGGCGATGCCTGTTGTTGTTGCTATTCGGGATGAGCTTTTTAGGCCTGCGGGGAAGGTCTGATGTTTGATCTTTGGTGATGTGTATATTATAGATTTTGTTGGGAGTACGATTTAAATTATACCCTCCTCCCAGTCATGATTGTTGGTTATATGCGATTGCATCATATTCACAGGCGAGGGCAGTTGAAGAAAGTCATGAAGAGCAATGTCAAGCTCATGTATTAATCATGTACATAGAAAACGCCAGGTGCAAATAGTTGCCGATAGCTTATCGGCAATAGCAAGAAGAAAAAGGCACGAGTCTTTTTCACAGATCTCAGCGCAGCAAAGAAACATCCGGTATTATGCTAATAGAGTAGTGGTTAGAAGAACAACTCAAACGGTTCCAGCTATGCTCAAATCGCGAATCTCCTGCAACACCTCCTCAACCCGGTTATCCAGATCACCCTGAGCATACTGGTCGCGAGACTTGGCATCGAGGTACTGCTGCACCTGCGCCATGCGGGAATATGCCTCCGCACAGAAGCGCAGCTGAATCTTGACGAGAGCTTCGAAGCTGGGATCGAGGTAGGGCACACGTAGGTCGATAAGCTGGGGCAGTTCGTTGAAGAGCTGCTCGTTCAACTGCTCGTATGCCTGCTTGGCCATCTCGGCTTCGCGCTCGGTCCGTGGCAGCTTGGTGACATCCTTGTCGGGCTTCTCGGCTAGCTTCTTAACCTTGGCGCGCATGGCGTCGTAATCTAGTAGCTTGTGGTTGCGTTTCTTGATGCATTCATTCACGTCGGGGAAGTAGGCGCAGAATCGGCTGATGGGGTCGAGGACAGTGGTACTTTGGCTTCTGTCAGCGCTGCTCAAGTGTACCCATCAGTAAGACAAGGATCTCCTACCGGTATGGTCCATCTAGAGCTTTGATGGTCTCGGCATCAAGATCCTCAACGGCCTGCTTGTAGCTCCGGCTCACACCATCTTTTGTTCCAGCATCACCGTAGAAGGCATCAATGGTCTCCGCAATGCGCATTTGGGATGCCGTCATAGCTAGGAAGAGTCAGCCAACTAAACAGCCAGATCCAATATTCCGCCAACTAAAATGTCACCCACCTCGTAGTGAATCCAGATATCCTTTCGCCTCTTTCTGCAACCGATTGGCAGCAGTCTCCATAGTCCGGTACCGCCTGCAATAAGCAACATTAGCTTCAGTTCCGGTATGACCATCCACAGACAACAACAAGGACAACCATACCGTTCCTCGATCTCATAATCGCGATCATTCGTTCTCTCGACATGTCCTATACAATTACCGAATCAGAATGCTATTCACATCCATATGACGCGGCAAGTAAATTGGAGCGTGTGGCGCATCTCCCAGCGGGTATCGATCGCCCTCTCTCGGTTCATTGCGGGGTAGAACTCGACAAACTCACCCGTCTTCATCATCACCTGCGTCGTCGCACGGTTGACATTCTTCTTAAAGCCTATCCATCCATCCAGTTAGATTCGCTCAAATTGACACCGGTTCATGAGTCCGAGGGTTTTGGTGGGATGAGGCGTACCTGCCCAAGACATGGTGGCGGTGTGCTTCGGAGGACCCGGAGATGGGGATCGGCTTCGACTTGGTGTGGATTAGGTGTGTAAGTGGGTATGGAATCGAAGGTTGGTGATTGCAGTTGACAGCTAAGAAGAATGTCCAGGGTTAAGCTGTAGGGAAACTCGTGGAGGTTCTGAACCTTATGCCAAGGGTAGCCGACTTGATCTGCCTTACGGTTTTGTGTGGCTGTGTGCACGGTTGTGGCTTGTGCTTATGTCATGATTTCCGGATGCGGATACGTCATGTTTGGTAGGGCTGGACTCTACAGCGTTGCATTATTTAGGTTCGAGGGTATGTTCAGGGGCTTTTTTTCTTTTTTTTTCTTTCTACAAAGATACATGAACTGGTAATACTAGGTATAGTCTGCCAAGGTATATATTGTACAGAGGTATCATGTTGTGACATTCCGACTCCAACAAGTTGCATATAGCCGCTTTAACGCTGGTAGGCGAGCAATCAAGAGAGAGATAATGGAAAAATTTTAACGTGATTACCCCTTCAAGAGCATAATGGTAAGGCTGGGTCTTGCATCCACTGCAATACGCCTGCATGGCATGTGCATATTGAGGTATTCTGATCCACTTCGCCTAGGCTGTAATGCTGATGCCTAAGTGAGTGAGTAATGTGTGGTTCTTGGCAATTATATGACTAGTGCCAAGTGTGAAGAAATGACAAACGCCTTCACCGTAGAGTCTGGTCGAGATTTATCGGGATCCCTTTTTGGTCGGTGCTTGGTAGGTGTCCGAATTGGCAGAGTTCAAAACCGCCTTTTTAGCTGCATATGTTAGCGAGCTGCAGCAAGGCCTAAAATATGTATAATAATTAGTCATAAGACACTTATGAGAATAAGTAAACCAGCTGATCTGGATATGACACTCGATTGCATCAGAGTGTTTGGGGCCTCTTGTTTTTCGTGTGGAAGGTACATGGGTGATTGTCGTTTATCGGAAGATACAGGCTGAATGATATCACCGGTCCTATATCAGAAAGATATCGGGGATTATCTATTGCACCGTGTTGATCGTCTCTTGTGACACTTGGTGGACCTTGGATTAGGTCCGAGAGACGCCGATCTTCGAATTGATGTCATAGGGCTTGGCTATAGATTGTGAACTTGGAGGTTGAGTGGTGCCCTTTAGTTGTAGGAGAAATAGGATCTTGACACGAACCTGGATAATGTGCACCTTGCTACGTAGAAGCAAGTCACATGTAACAGAAATTCAAAATGCCTAAGCCGTATATACAAAAAGCATCGTGAATATGTACTATCATTCGACGTGGAAAAGTCATAGCAAAAAAAGGTTCAGACAACCTCCAGTGTAGGACATCCCACTCAGGTACCAATTTCCTGTTCCTGATCTTGCTGTTGCGGGCAGCCTCTGCCTACAATCATATTTGATACCCACCAAGAACGCAGGACCCGCAACCCAAGTGAGAATGCCCATATTCGCCCGCTAAAGCTGGGCTCGTCATAATGGTACAAGGGGGAAAAAAAGCTCAAATGGGGAATTGCCCGCCAACGCCGTATAAAAAGTTCAAGGTATCTGCCGAAACCAATAACGCGAAAACCGGACGAGAAGAAACTCCGAAAGATCGAAAAAGAAAACCGGATCAAAAGAAGAGGGTCATGATTCTTCGTTGCATTGACGTTGAAGACATGAGGATCCAGACAAAAAGACAAGCTAAAAGTTGGATCGATATAATAGAGCACAGGCTGAAGAGGCTGGGGATACAGTGTAAATGCGCCGGAGCCAACAAACAGGATAAAACGAACAAAGCAAAGGAAAAAAAACTTCGTTAAGGGGCCTCCTTCTAGTTTAGGAGCATTCGAAGGATAAAAATCAGTAAGCATCTCCTTGAATGGGTCCATGATAAATAACCACCCTCTGATGCAAACGTAAAAGATAGTTTTGGTGCTATCAAACCTTGAGGAGCGGGTCTGTGACCTCGACACCTGACAATTTTAATGTTGAAACAATCAGAACCCTTCCTCACCGGCCTTGCACAGCTTGATCTGGCGTACCCATTCGGATTTGAGAACTTGTGAGGCGTTGATGCGGCGAGAAGGATTAGGATCAAGGATAGAGTAGATCACGTTGCGACAACGAGCCTAAGAAGTTATAAGTGTTTGCCCCGCAGCCGCAGAAAATGGATTATCTGTTCTTACCCGATGTAATGTCTCAATTGGGGCATATCCATCCTCATGTTTGCGACCGTCTAGGTAGCGCTGGTAAAATTCGTCTTCGTCCTTGCGCGCCACGCGCCAAAGATGCCGCCCGGTGCGCATGGCCATGTAGATTACTCCTGTGGCCCAGAGATCAACGGCCCGGGGATCGAATTCCCTCTCGACGTATTCCTCCGGGGCAATATAGGGAGCGGACCCGCAAAGTCCTGCGGTCATATGGGCTTCCTTCTCCCAAGCCATTCGGAAACATTCGCCGTTGCCAAAGTCGGTGATCTTGAGTGCACCGTGGGTGGTCAGAAGCAAATTTTCGGGTTTGAGATCGCGGTGTGCAACACCCATTTCGTGCATATACTCAACACCACGCATCAACTGCTTGAAAAAGCAGTCAGCTTCGGCGACTTCCAACTTGCCGGCAGCAAGGACCAGAGTGTAAAGATCGCCACCAGCGCAGTATTCCATGACTTCACAGTAATCTCCCTTTGCATCTTGCAAGAGATCCAAAGTGTGAATGACGTTCGGGTGACGAAGTGAGGATGAGATGCAAAATTCAGAGGTCAGTCGTTTTTGATACTTCTTGGTTGTTTCTTGAGGCCGGCGTCGGAACTCCTTGACAGCGTACAGCTGTTCACACTTGGAATCTTGAGGGTCGACCTTGTGCGAGATGCGCACAATACCGAAAGCACCGCGACCCACAATCTCTTGGCATTTGCCGTACTTGTCAACCAGAGAAGCAGTGGCATTCGGGCCACCCTTCTTATCAGCAGCCAGCTTATCACGCTCTGTCTTGAACTGATCAATCCAGGTCGACATCAGCGACAGCTGTTGTTCATCCACCTGGTCATCCTTTTTGCGGCCACCTAGCATGTCTCGCAATAGATCGGTAAGCTTCTCTTGCCGTCTAGCACTTCTGAGGTTATGCGAGTGGTTGCCAAGAGCTTCCGGTAGAACTTCAAATCGCTTGTGGGCTGGAGCTCCGTCTTTTGTCTTTTTATCTTCTGGCTTCTTCTTATCAGTCTTCTCCACGGGTTCACCCTTGAGTGAAGGGTTTCGTGATGGTGTTCGAGAATTTTCTCCTCTTGAAGGGGGTCTAGAGGCAGGTCTGGAGGCAGGTCGAGATGATGGCTTAGATGTCCTGCCGTTGAGAGGCTGGATACTTTCTAAGCTACTGTCGGATAGGTCACGAGGACCTTCATGGTGCTCTCTGGGTGTTGATTTCCCTGAGCTGGAGAACATGCGAGTGAGACGAGAAGCCATGGTAGCTCTAGTTGGTTTGGCAGGAGACGGTGCCGGA